ATGATGTCTGCATTTGATTCTGATGGTTGCTCATTTTAGGGTAAGGTCCAGCAAAAAAAAAAAAAATCCCCAGCTCTAGTACCAGCAAACTGTTTTAGAAAAATGTGCTGCTGTTTTCAAGTCCATCTCCAAGCTTGGGAATAGGGCTCTCTTACCAGTATTCTGTGTTTGTAAATCTTTATTAGCATTCCCCTGGGTCTTTAAAACTATGGAAAATTGTAGTAAAATAAACATAGCATTAAAGTTGTCATTGTAACCATTTTAAGTATCCACCATTAAGTTCATAATACCTGCCTATAGTTATGGCCTCTGATAGACCCAGCCTGATTTTCTCTTTTCACGAGGCCATGAAAAGCTAATTTCGGCTTTAATAAAATAGCAGCCCTCTCTGAAACTTTAGTGCCACCTCATCACTCTTGGCCTTCCCTGGCCAGATAAGGACCTCTCTGAGGCTCTAATGACCTTCATAAATTCTGATGTTAGGACCAGCAAAAATGTAAACTAACAGTTTTGTTATCTGTAACCCCCCTTTGTATAACTTTCTGGGCTATAAAACAGGGCTACAGGAAAACTGCAGGGCTGTCTTGTTCCTGAGGTTTGGGTTGGGAGAGGCAGCCCAGCCAGTCGAAATAATAAGCTTGCTTTAATTTGATTTTAATTGGAGTCAGTGGTGTTTTCTTGCATCCTTGTCTAACAGCTTCATTTTATACTCAGAAGTTACACAGTGGAGCAGTAGTGGAAGTCATGTCTTCTGATTCTATATTTAGGTTCTTCACTAAACCAGAGTGTTTTTTTTTTTTTCTTCTTTCTTTTAGACTCACTGACCAATGTGGAAAATTAACCTAATAACATCTTTGGAACAGATCTTAATACAGATCAGCCCCTTTGGATGAACAGGTAAAAGCAGAACCACTATGTAAAATGTATAAGTAGCTGAGAGTTTTTTCTTCTTCTTTTTTTTTTCTTTATTTTTGTGTGTGTGTAGACCCAGACATTGAACCCAGGGCCTTGCACATACCAGGTTAAGTGCTCTATCACTGATTCCCATCCCCAGCCCTTGCTGGGGGATATTTTTAAAGAAATAGAATATAGTATAAATGATAAAATGGTAGAATTCTCATGATTGAAAGGATATTCTACAAGTCAGCTAGTCAGAAACTCTTTGTAGATACGGACGTGGAAGTTTGTATATTAACACAAACTATTAAAATATCTAAAATATAGGAGTAAGTCCTGTAATTTGACAGATATGCCTATTCCCATTACTCTCTGGATCATTGAGGCTCTTTGCTTCCCACATTTTTTGGTCTTATAGGTGCTTCTTGGTGTCCTTGACCAAAGTAACTGAACATGTAAGAAATGAGACCTCAAATCCTAACCCTGTAGGATGATCAGAGTATTTTAAAAGAAGAGTTTAAGTAATCAGTGTTGTGAGTAAGGGACAGTGAATGAGACATTGTCACAAGGTAATAAAAGTTTCAAAACCAGAACATTTTATTTAACAGTGAACAGATGGTTTAAACAGTTGAAACAGTTCTCCAGTTCCTGTAAGTTTGTATAATAAGGGTTACTTAGGATTGCTTTTGGGTGCTCATCCTGTCTGAGCAAGATTTTTCAAGCTTCTAAACAAAAGACCTGACAGAAGAGGTCTTACACACCTGTAGGCCAGCCCAGGTGTCTTGGTTTCACTTTAAAGAATGTAGATGAAGCCATTTCCTTTAGAAAGGGTTTGTTGGGCAGCTTCATTAACATTATAAAAGCAGGTGTGTGGAGTGGGGTATTTTTTGCTTTTTCTTATTTAATGAATAGTGCTCAGGAATGCAGGAACTGCATTTCCACATTCCTGTAGCTGTCCCCCACCCCCCACCTAAAGAGAGAAGTGTTGCTGAGTCAGGCTGATGCCACACTTTAAAAGTGAGCATTATTACTATTTCAGCTGTATCCAACTAAAAATGTACATAGTCAAAGCTAGAAAATATCACTCCCAAATTCCTTTTAATATTGCTCCCTCCACCATATATCTATTTCCTTTTCCATTTATGGGTATCAGTGCTGACTTGCCATGTAAATAAAGTACACCTCCTTCACAGCAAATTTTGGTTAAGGAAACCATCAGGGGTCACATTAATTCAGTGAGGCCAGGAGCTAGTAATGCTCCCAAGCCAATTCAGAACAAATGGAGGCTGCCCTTAGACACAGGTTTGACCTTTTCCTTCACTCTTCCTCCTGTCCCACCCTCTGTGAGTGATTTAAAAATGGAAAAGGCCAAAACCTAGCCAGGCATGCATTTAGAGGATTATTTGTTATTTTTATTTTTGGTATTTTTTCCTCCAGTTTTTTTTTTTTCAATTTTTATTGTTCTTAAAACTGAAGCAAGCCAAGTAAAAATTTAAGCTCTTCTCATCTACTGACAATATTCTGCCATAACAAGCCCTTCCTGAGTATGGAGAATTGCTCCAAGAAAAATCATGTCTCCATCTACATTTTACTCATGTGCTATCTGAGGACTCTTTCTGAAAGAAATCTATTAGGGGATGTACATGCATGAGACATGTACATGAAAACAGACAAATTCATTCAAAACCAGTTGTCTGGGTGGTTCCCCAAGGTATAGATAGCAATGAGACTGGGGTTTGGGAATTAGATGGCTCTCATCTTTCCTCTCCAGCAGTAGTTATAATCATTTTACATGAGGCATGGGCAAGGAAAATTAACTAGCTTCTATAGTGGAGGGTACCACCAACTTAAGGAATACGCTCATTAACAGAACCCAGCTACCCACTCATCATAGTGGCCAGAATGGTAGAAGAGGTGTTGGGGAGGAATAAAACTACACAATGTTATTTATTTGGGGACTTAGCCATGCCCTTAACCAGAAAACATGCCAGAAGCAAAGTTTAAGAAACCCTCTGGAAAGGCAAGCATCTTGTCTAATGTCTGGGCCAACCTAAGGAACTTACATCCAATAGGCGCCCATATATACTTGTAGAATGGATAAATAAATGAGGAAAATGAATCAATATTGATTGTCCATTCTCGAAAAGAATTCACAGTCTTTCAGTCAAGCTCTTTTTTGTTTTCTGAGATTTAACATAGTGGCTTGACAAAATAGATACTTCTGTTTGATACAAAGAGTTATCAGTTCCTTTATGGTTTTTTTTATTGTACCTCCAAATCACATTAAGTGTGTTTTGGAACACATCTATTTCATTTAGTATTTTAGCATCATCTTCAGTGATATGTCTGAATGAAAAAACAGAAAGCCCATAATAAAGTGTTATTCCCACTGTACCAAGCATGCCAATGAGAAGTTAATCTACTTAGTTGTTCCTTCTCAGTGTCTTCCATATCACAACTGTTTGATAAGTTTTTTCAAGTAAAAAAGAACCGTAGTCTCTTATTAAATGTGTTCTTGTGTTTCCACTATATGCTATTGAGATAAAGAGTGCATTTTGGTTTAGGTGTTTAAAAATGTCCTCGTTCTACTGAGCACTTAAAAACAATACTTTATTCAGTTTTAATACATTTTTACTACATATGGTAAATTTGAAAATCCTTTTTTTATTGCTCATGTGTCTTCCTGTTTTTAAGCCAAGCAATGAGCAAATATTTCTAAAAACCATTGTTTTCATTTTTATTCTCCTTTTGAATCACTTAATTGTAGTAAACATTCTATGTTTGTTTAATTAATTCATTAAGTTCAAACTGTGAGCCCTTTTATCAGTCTTCAGGCTTTAAAGGAGGTCGACAGCCAGTGTCTTTGGCTCTTTCCCAGAAGTAGGAAAAATGTCTTTATTTTACTTTTTCATGTTACATTGAAGGAATCTTGCCCTTTTTTTCTGTGTTTTCTCAAATCTCCAAGGCAAGTTAATGGGTCTTCTGAACCAGACCTCCTTACTAATTCATTGAACACAATGCCTTGCAGTGACCAGACACTGAAATATTATTTATTTAATAATCAATGAAGTGTTGTCTATCTGGTGCTGTGATCAGTGACCTAATGTCGTTTATACTAGGTCCATTTCGCTTTACTTATCTTTTGGACCTAGAGTGGCACATTCCACATAAAAGATGCTTTACTTGTCAGATTAATTAGACAGGTAAGCCATTTTCTTTCACTCCTTTACTGTCTCTGAGCCAGGCCAGGGTGGTTCTAATTCATGTCCATCATCAGCATCCAATCAATATTTAAGAAACTGGGTGGAAAAATCACATACTTGCTTTCCAGAAAATGTTTTCCCACCTTTTCCACTGAATCAGGTGGCAAGTGTAGATGGGATTTTATCCCTCTACTTAGCTCAGCATTTAGCATACTGCCTTATACAAAACTATTTTTTTCTCCGTTTTCATTATTGTATAAGCTTAGGAGTGAGTGGTTACAAGACCCTTTGGTCTGAATATCACATTTGTTATTTCATTTTCTCCTGTGAGTACTCCATAATGATAAAATGATTTTGCTATTCTAAGGGATATGGTTCTGAACCTCACAGAAAGTAATCACTGATTACTGATTAAGCCAACATTTAACTCCTCTCTGAAGAGAGTTGTAGGCTTTATAAATATATACACAGATCTCTGTTTCAGGTTCATTAATAAAAATAATGAATTTTTGTACCCCACTTGCCATCTCTGGGAATAAGACAAATAAGCAATATAATCATTATTAATTCAAAAGATATTGCTTATGCATGTTTGGCAGTTTAAAAAATTATAAATTCAGACTATACATAATTTCTTCTGCTACCAAGGACAGAATAAAGATCTTTGCATCTCAGTGCCAAGCAAGAACAATGGAACCTAACAGATGATTACCATCCATTCTTGCATTCATCAGGCATTGAATGCCTTACATAAGATGTTAAGTGTTAAATAACTAACAGTCCTTGGATTTTGAAAATTTATTAGAATAGTATAATAACTGAATTTTATAAACTTGGCATGGAGCACCAAATTGGAAAATCAATAGCTATACTTATATGGTGCTTTAGAGTTCACAAAATGCCAACATATTTCCTTATTCTCAGCTCTGGGCACAAAGAAATATGGTAAATCTTTCTTCAGTGCCCATAACAGTGGATAAGATAGTAGACAATTAATGTTTATCCACTATTTCATTATTTAAACCCTTGGTTGTATATTTTTAAGCCAGGGTCTCACTGTGTTGCTCAGGCTGGCCTTGAGTGCCTGGGTTTAAGTGATCCACCTGTTTTAAGTTCCTGAATGCTGGTACTACAGGAACATGCCACCTGGCCTGGGTTTTATAATTATACCACCCTTCTCATTGTGAGTCAAGCATACACAATGAGAATTTTGTAAAGACAATGCTTATTTTATAAATAAGTTGTTTCATTCATATAGAAACCATCTTCTTTTCAGAGTGCTTTATAGTTTAAAGAATGCACTCATCATATTCATTAGCCTGTCCTCTAACCTGGGAAAATAGACTGGCATTGGTATAAGATGACCTCAATAGTAAATTAAGTATCATCTCATTTCTCATACCTGAATAGCATAGAGCATTAATGTTCCCCTAATTACATGGGAGAATTAATCATGGATACCATGGACCCAAAACAATAGCTAGTATGGAAGAGGCAGTTCATATTGATAAACAGGTAGCCTGTTAATATTTGTATAGTGCTTCAGTTTACAGAGGACTTTAATATGCACTTCCTTTATGAAAATTTTAGTTCAGCGAAAATATATTTTGTCCTACTTTGGTATCTTTGATACAAAGAGTTATCCATTCATTTATAGTTTTTTTATTACACCTCCAAATCACATTAAGTGTGTTTTGGAACACAACTAGAGTTCTCTTTTAAGTAAGGACAATTTCTTGGTACTGAGGATTGAATCCAGGGTCACTTAACCACTGAGCCACATCCCCAGCCCTTTTTATTTATTTATTTGTCTGTCTGTTTATTTAGGGACAGGGTCTCAGTTGCTAAGGCTGGCTTTGCACTTGTAATCTTCCTGCCTCAGCCTTCTGAGCCACTGGGATCATCACCTGGTTGGTGATGACAATTTATTAATCACTTGTGTTTGGAATATATTTTGTAGATTACGAGGAGTTTCCGTGTTTTTTCTGTTCTCTGAGGTACTGTATTTTTATTCAGAATCATCAAAGCAGTGGAAACACATTGACCTGATATTCAAATTATTCATTTATTGAAAACTTATGTCTACATAGTATTGTATTCTTTTGACAAAGCACTTGTTTATTCATCCCCAGCTTTTCTTTTTATTTTGAGACAGGGTCTCACTAAGTTGCTGAGGCTGGCCTGGAACTTATGATCCACCTGTCTCAGCGTCCTGAAGAGCTGGGATTATAGGTTTAAGCCACCGTTCCTGGCTTCTTTTATTTAATCTTTGTATCTACGGTGCATCTCATGTAGAATGCATACAATAAGTAATGAACATTACTTCATCAACACGGAAACTTAAAGTTTTCATGTGCTTAATAGTTTACAAGGCACATTCTTATATTTTTCTTCATGTCACCTGGATGTGATCATGAATAAGCCCCTGCATACTTAGTAACACAGGGATAGGCATAGAGAAGGAAATTAATATTATTCAGACATATTCTCAGGCATTTGCATCAGGAATTGGTAAACTATGGGCTAGCAGGCCAAATCCACTTGACCTGCAAGCTAAGAATGGTTCTTTTAAGGAATATAGAAGAGGCCCATGAAATCTAAAATATTCACAATTAGACCCCTTACAGAAATATCATAATGACCCCTGATTTACACAATGCTTTACAACTTAACATTGTACTTGGAAATATCAGCTGTGCATGATTGCCAGTTCATTATGAATGCGTACATGTTCTTTTTCTCTTGTGAATTACAGTGCATTCATACATATTGTCAATCGTTTAAATCAGTTTTCCTCATAAAAGGGAGAGGGGTCAGAGAAGATTAAATAGTTCCAAATTCTCTCATCTTTAAGACTAGAGGTATAGGTCAAACCCAGGAATAGGTTTAACAGAGTCCACCAGATTCTTTGGCCACTAATGTGAGTAGGGAGTTCAGATCTCACTCTGTCTCAGGCCTAATCACCCCTTTCAAAGATATTACTAGAAATTCCAAACCCCAAGAATCCTGCTCACCCAAGGTCAAAGCAGGAAGGTGATGCTGGCTGGTAGTTCTCAGAAGGCTGTCATATCTGGGTGTCCTCTCTAGATAGCCTTGCACTTTCTCTCCATTTTCTCATCAAATTAGGGCTTCTGAGTTAAGGAGAACCGAAATATAGTGACTATATGGAAGCTTGCTACTGAATGATGTAACAAAAGGCAGACTACATATTGACTGGAAGTAGATGTGAAGAGAGATGGAGGTTTAAATCTTAATGAATGGCTTCAAAATGGGCTCAAGATTGGCCTATGCATAATACTGTCACTCTGAAGATACGTTCCTTTAAGGTAAATGGCAACATCAAAAAGTACATCTCAAAAGAATCAGGCTTTCATGCAAATAAGAGATCTGGAAGGGGAGTATTGAAAATGTCCTAATAGTGAGCAGAATAGCAATAGAAAAAGATTTGTGGTTTAGGGTCCTCATCTTGGTGTTTCCCCAGTGTTGAGGTTTCTGTCCTTCCTGAGTTCCAGATCAGAAACCTGGAATCTCCAAGTTTCCAGGTTTTATTCTTGAGGGATCTGTTTCTCTTAGGCCTTCCGTCCATGTAGGGAGGCTTGAATCCTTGCTCTTATTTGGGTGTGGGGTCTTCCACCCGTGGGTCTTAAATCCTCAAACTAAGACCTTGGTCTTATGTCAGACTTCAGACTTCCATCTATCTTGAGACATGGGCTTTTCATCTTAGTCCTGAGTCTCAAGTTTCAAACCACCTGTCTTCCACTTTGGGGCTTCTACCTTTTGTCCATCTTTGGGGTTTTAACTTCAGTCTGGATTCCAGGACCATATTTTGGTATTGAATCATCTCACAGGGCAGCTTGGCACAAGGAACATCTCTGCAATGCTGATTTTGATAGCTGACATTCTGAACCTATTGGGAAAGGGTTAGGAAGCCCCTCTGCCACACATAGCAAGCATGCACACATATGCACATAGCCCGTATACACAAAGAAATAGCCAAGAGAGGATTACATGAAGTCAGAGAGAGGGAAACATAGACTCACAAAGAGGCTGAAATACTCAAAAGATGAGTAGAAAAGGAAAAAGTAGAGAGGACACACAAGCAGAGAGTAATGCTGAAATACAAAATCACAAAGAGACACTGAGGTATACACAGGAGCGAAAAGAGAGAAAATAGCACTAGAGAGGCAGAGAGGAAATATAACAAAGAGAAATGTGAGATAAGGAGCAGAATGGACGCCAGAATCAGAAAAAGGTGAATTGTCCAACTTACAAAAAGGAGAGAAGGTAACAAATACCAAGTGCACCAAGACAAAAAGCAAGGTAGGCACAATAAGAAAAGGGCAAAAAAACACAAAGCATGACCTCAAAGAGGAAAAAAGGAAGAAAAGAAAGAAAGATAGATAGATAGATAGATCTATGAGAGCAAAGAGCAATAGCAAGCAAACAAAAACTAGAGAGATCCATTTAAGACAGTGCATAGACCACACTTAGGAACAAAAAGAGAAAGTGAGACAAGGCACACACAGAAGAAATTACCAAGAGAAACATGGAACTGATTCAGACACTACTCGAGTTAGAGAAGAAAGAGCAAGGAAGAAATAGACAAGCAAAGAAATGCACACTAAGCAAAGAAATGCACACTTAGGAGCGAAAGAGATAAACAAAGGCAGACCATCACAGGAGGAGACTAAGAAGGACTAGAGACACACAACGAGGGACACAAGAGGCACAAAATTTAAAAAAAAAAAAAAAAGTAAAGGTGCCGTTAATTATGAAAAGCAATTCTTTGTACCAGTGCTACTTATATTACTACTAACAATAATAATAAGTCTGTTAGCTTAAGGATTTCTTACATAGAACCAAAACATGCCAACTCTGCCTGCCCACAGAGTGCTAGTGGTCACTTACATTGTGTAAAAGGAATCTGTGAAACTATTCGCATTAATTTTTATTTGCCGTCGGCCCGTCATTGTACTCTAAGTACTTCACATTCATAATTTCTTTAACCCTGGCAAACAGAGAAATCTAATCAAAGACTCTCACTTGCCAGTGGTCATACTCTTAAAGAAGTAGCAGAAAGGACTTAAACAGAAGGTCCCTCTTAACATTCTGCTACAATTAACTATTTGCTAAGATTTCCCTAAGAACTAAAGAAGATGTCACAGATGAGTGAATATTTTCATAAAGGGCCCTTGGATAGTGCAAAATCCTTTCATTTTATAGCTTCACCTTTCCCCATCCATTTAGAAAACAGACTTCTCATATCCTTCACAATGACAATAGATGCTTCCAAATCCGTCTTTTTCTTTTATTTTTTTTTTCTTTTCCTTTGGTATTAGGGATTGAACCCAGGGACGCTTAATCACTGAGCTACATCGCCTTTTTGTTTTGAGACAAGGTCTCCTTTAGTTGGTGAGGCTGGCTTACAACTTAAGATTCTCCTGCCTCAGCCTCCAGGGCCACTGGGCTTATAGGCGTGGGACACTGCACCTTACCCAGGTTTCTCTTTACACTAAATCTTAACTCAGATTCTCTCCCAAATGGAGATGAGAAAGGGCCAGGCTTTCATCAGAAAGCATTACCTGTCTTTTAGGCTTTCAATATTTAAACCTTTAAGAATGGCAGAACACCTGGACATTGAGGCAAGTAGAGGCTAAATCCCCCTCTGTGATCCAACTGGTAAGTAGTTAACAGTGAATTCAGTTGGTAATATAGGACACTGGTCATCTTCCCATCTCAGATTCGGCCCTGTTTCCATCCAATATTAATTCCCTGCAAACAGCCGTTCATTCTGGGGCAATACTTACAGAATTGCAACCCCAACAGCTTACTTAATTCTGCTATTCTGAAATGCTAGTGTCAGGCATGTTGATCTTCAGGTAGAAAACTTGGCTCCTTTTGATGTGTTCTCATTTCTTAATCCTGATGATGATTCAGCTCTCTGTACTGCTTTTGGGAAGGATAATGGTTTGTCAAATATTATCAATCGAGAGCTTACAAAAAAAAGAGAGAGAGAAAGAGACCATGTAAATGTCATAGAAGAAGCATAACTGTGCTACAGTTATGGAAGATTCATATTTGTGAACTATAAAAAATGTAT